GATGGTGTTCATTTTCCCTTGAATTTTAAGCTTCCATTCACCTTCTGCATCACGTTCACATTATCCCTTCCAATCAGGGCAGGATTACACATCTGCTCTCATTTCTTACCCTTCCCCAACCACACAGCTTTTTCTGCAGGAATAAAGTTACTCCACTCCTGCATCCACATCCCAATTCCTCCTTCAGGACACCCTGTTCCCTGCCTGGCAGGTCTTCACTCAAACACCTCCTTAAAGCAGACACTGGAGTGTCGGTTTTGGGCTGACACATCCCATAATGGCAACAAACAAGGGGAAAAAGTTCAACAGAAACTAGATTTGGATTGGTGCACGTTGTCTCACCACTTAAAGACATGAAGACCTGGTGGGGCTGAAGCCCAGCCTTCGGTGGGTTTGTTGTTTTTTGGTGGTTTTTTTCCTGTTTTTGCAGAGAGCATGATTTTATGGGTGCTGATTTTACTTCAAAAATCATGTGGTAAGAAATATGAGTGTCCTGCAGGCTAAATAAAAGCACTGAGGAACCCCTTGTGTGTGGCTGATCCTTCCAGAAGGGCAGATGAGCAGTTGTGACCAGTCAGGTCCTGCTTTCACCTTCCCACCACATATCAACACAGGGTGTGTCACATTTTTAGGCTCTTTACTAGAGAGAGAACAACCACAAATGCTGTGGTTGTTCTCTCCCATGGCTCTTTTTTTTCAACTAAGTTACAGCAATGAGAGGTAAAACTGGTATTGCAGGGTGGCCAAAATATTGGAGCAACATGAAGTCATTAATGCACCAGAGAGCTTAATGCTAAACTTTTCCTTTAATCATTAATCATCTTGTAAATAGCATTAATCTGAGTCTCGAAGGAATTACTATGCAAAAGGCTTTGATCCCAGACTTTTTGGGGAATAAAGTCCTTTGGGAGAGATTTAAAGATCACTTTAATTCTATCAAATCTGATGAATTGAAGAGAACCAGCACCACCAGTTGTTTTTGCTGTGCTTTAAAACAGGACAAAGATTTCTTCAGAGTTAGCCAAAAAAGGGGAAATTGAAAACACTTGAATTCTCCTGATTTTATTCAAAGTTTTTATTTCCAGACATACTTACAAGAGATTACGCCAACCTTCACTGCCTTATCCAGAGTCAGCTGTTCCAGCTTCCCAGAGCATATCACAAGTTGGCATGAGGCAGAGATAAGCCTGGCAGGAGGTCAGAAAGAGTTCAAAAGAGCAGAATGGGGACAAAAGGCAAAGAAGCATCCACGATAACAAAATGCAAATGCATGAGGCTGAGCAGAGAGGCACATGAAGTGCAGCTGCATCCTCTGACTGAGCCCCGTGGAAGGGCAGGTTTGTCCACACTGTGCAGCTGCAGAACTCAGGGAGGGATGGAGACACGAGAGATGGAGCAGCAGGAGAGCAAAGGGATGCGTGGTCTAACAGCCCCTGCAATTCCCATCTGCCTCAACCCACTGCCACCCAGAGAGTTCAGTTCAAAAGAGATGCAACCATGACACAGCAACAACTTTGGGATTTCTGAGAGGCTGGAGATTATAAAATGCTTCTCTCAGTAACTTTGAGAAACTGGAGAAATGGTTCACGATTTCTGGTGCAGGCTAATCTCATTGGGACATCCCTCTTAAGTTTGTTCACAAACCACTCCATCACCTCTATACTGCACACACACATACCTCAGAGGCAAGAGGTATTCTTCCTGGCTAAAGAGTTTTATTTTAGACAAAAAAAAAAAAAAAAACTTTTAAAAATGTGGCAAAGATGGGCACTAAATGAGTCATGCTGTGAAAGGAAGCATCTGAAAGGAAACTTAAACCAGCAGCTTCCTCCTGCAGCGTGCAGGCTGCAGTGTCCTGCCACATACAAGGGGTGGAGAGAAAAGTCTGAATGTGGCCTTTCTGCTCCATGCCAGGCACATCCAGTGTTGGAACCAAAGTCCTGGGCTATCCCTGTGCTCACACTCCATTTCCCCAGCCAGGGCTGCAGTTGCAGAAGTGAAAACAGATTAAATTCTGCCCTGCTTCAGCACAGGCAAACGAAAGCTTTGTATCAAAAAATACATCATGCTGCAAGTGATGGCAAACTCAGACCACAGGCAGAGTTCCCACAGTGAAGTGAAACTCAGATTTCTTCACCAGATCAAGCAGAAACACACCAAGTTTACCTGAAGTCATCAGACAGACATTTTCTCTTCACTGATACAAAAGACGACAAATCTTTTCTTCGTTTGTCTTCTGCTTGTCTATACAAAGCCCTGCACCCCTGTAACTAAGATGACCTCATGAGGGAAAACTGGAATTTAAAATAAGAGAAAAGTAAAAAAAAATAGCCTTGGGGTTTTGTTCGTGGTTTGGTTCTGTGGGTTTTCTTCAACTTTTTTCAGAAGCCACAGTCTGCCTTTCAGACTCCACCGAGCCACCTGGAACAGGGGCAGCCCGGTCTGAATTTATACTCAGTGCACACCATCAGGGTCTCATGGGTCCTTAGTTTCTCTTCTCACCCCAAGATTGTCCCCTTTCTTCTATTTATCTAGTGACAAAACACCTCCCACCAATACAGTGGGTAAAAATGAGGAAGAAAAATTAAAACTGCGTGGATTTTAGAAGGCAGTTATTAAAAATAATATTATTATATTAAAAGATGCCTGAATCCCAGGTTTTAAAAAAAAAATGTTTCCAAAATCTTCTTCACCTGTGATCATTTGCTGAGTTCATGCAGAATCCACAGCAAGCTTCTGCCCATCTGAAGCTCTGATTTATACCAAGACCACCCTCTCAGCCCAAGTCCTGAGCCTTTAAAGTCACTGGGACACCAAAACCCAGTCCAGCCCACAAATTGCAAGGCTGGGTCTGCTAGGAAAATGAGAGATGGAAATGGGTTCCCCATCCCCCCACGGAGGCACTGATTGCTTTCTCAATTAGCTGAAGTGGTGAAGGAAAAGGAGAGTTTACAATACAGGGCCTTGGGTCACATAGGACCATGTTGCCTCCCTTTTCCTTTGCATCCTTAGGGTATCATCACAGGGAAATACTCTGCCTTAATTTGCCAACCAAGCTGAATATTGACATTTCAACCAAGGCCACAGTTTCTTCTGAGCATTGTTCAGCTTCCCACAGCTTACTACAGGAAGCTGCCACCAGCTTCCAACATCTTTCACCTTAATATTTACTCCTTTTCCTTCTGCTGACATTTCCTGGCTCTGCACCTTCCACATGACTCAGAGACTTCCCGGACCCCAACTCGGTGGTGACATCAGTGCTGAGAGCTGAAGTTAATAAACATTATGTCAAACTGGAATTATGGGGGAGGCAGGGGCAGAGGTTGTTTGGCCTTTTTTGCAAGTGAGGATGTTGAGTTTCCTGTAAAACCATATTTAGACCTGAGCTGCAGCGTGCCTGCTGTAAGGAATCGCTGGGATTTTAATGACCAAAGGACAGAAAGGAGATCACAGGGCTTTGTTTTGGTCCTGGGTGTCTCAGGAGACAGAAGTATGTGCAAAGCAAACTGTGCTGCAGAACACCTGGAACAGACATAAGGCAAAAGTCCAGCAGAGCTTCGAGGTGATTTCCGTGTCCTGAAGTCACCTCTGAGAGTGACTTCATCTCCAAGAGACTCAGTGACTCAAAAAAAAACCAAACCAAAACAAAACAGTGAAGACATTTCAGACATGCCCAGCATCTGCTGGCTCAGGCAAACATCAGTAACTCTATAAATACATCTGCTTTCCCTGCTTGATGCTGTACATTCACTTTTTTACTTTAAAGAGAAGTAAGTGTCTCGTCCTACACGGGCAAGGTGAAGCAGTGCTGGGGCAGCATGTGAATGTCAGAGAACCAAGGAAAAGTTTGGGTTGGAAGGGACCCTAAAAATCACCCAGTTGCAACCCCCTGCCATGGTTGCCACCCACTAGATCAGCTTCCTCAGGGCCCTATCCCTCCTGGCCTTGAACAATTCCATGGAAAGTTGTAATATTTGTGCTGTTTATAGTGGGTTTCAGCACAGCAAATTTTGCAGCACCTTAACAACAAGCCACCTAAAATCCTTCATCATTTTAGAGATTCTGCATTTCCACTGAGATTTACTTGAAATCACAGCTCTTCTGTATTTTTAAATATTATTTTTGGTTGTTTTTTTTTTTTTTTAATTTTACAGGGTTTTCAGATTCACTTCCCTAATATCTCAGTTCTTCAGCTGGCATTCAAACAGAGCCGCTTGCAACCACATCACCTTTCCTTTCCAGGACAAGGTGACACACCTGCAAGCACTACCTGGGGCTGTGACTCAGCTCTGTCACGAGCACAGGGACCTGCCAGGCCACAGGTGACACGTGTGCACACAGGGGCTGAGTTCTGACCTGTCACAAGAACAAGGCGTGAACCTGTTGGCAATTCCACCCAGCCATCTCCTGTCTGCACAGGAACCAACGAGATTGCAGAGCTGGGGAGGTTCCTGCAGGACTTCCAGGCTGCAACAGGTGGCTTTTAATCTGGTTTATCAGCAGGCCATATGAATTTCAGCAAAGTCATTGAATTTACTTCACCCTTTAAAAAAAAAAAAAAAAAAATCAGACTTCATAAACTTCATAACATAAGCAAGATGTTATGAGAAATGCCCTGGTGTACTGGTAGAGATATTTGTTTTTTCAGCCTGGATTTCTTCTTTTTTTTTTTTTTCTTTTCCTTTTTTTTTTCTTTTTCCTTTTTGGGTGTGTTTTTTAATCTTTTAATAACTCTGTCTGGAATTATTTCTCTGTGAAAACTGCCACCCTGCTCATAAAAGGTAGAAATAATGTTCTAAGCAAATGCAAACAGGCACTTTTTCAATGTCTAAACTATTTGGGGAATTTGGGGTTGAGGGATCAGAGCAGACATGTCCAGGTAGGGAAATCTTGCACAGTGTTTCAAGGGGAGATTTTGGCAAATATCAAACTTTCAGGGCAGGGATTTTGGGCTGGATTTTCCTCCAGGGCTGGTGGTTTGTATGGCAAAAATGGGTCAGCAGCACCTCTGCCCCTCTGTCATGGATGCAGGCTGAAGCACCTCCCCCAGATGCTTCCCACATTTCTGGACCTGGGCTTGAAGATGACCAAACACCTCCTCAGTGCTTGCCGAGGTGAACCTGTCCTCTGCCCTGAGCCCTCTCAGCTCTCCCAATTTATCCTCTCCAGTGTCTCTTGTGGATTGTTGCTCACAATCCCACGGGTTCCCATGCATTTCTGCACATTTTCCTTGCTGATGTTTAAGCTCAGACCTTCACCCTGAAGAACTGAGACCAAGTGTGAAAGAAACAGGATTCAGAACAGCCAGCAGCTATGTCCAGAGCTGATGAACCTCACTTTCCATGCTGCTCACACCAAGACTTTCCCTCCAACCTCAGCCTCTACTGTGAGTATTCTGTGACTCACAGCCACAGGTCACTGCAAGGCTGTCCTAGGAGAAGGACAGTTCCCATTTTCTGCTCAGTCACTGCTGGAAGTGCTTCATGTGGACCATCAGTGTGATCCTGCACAGCTGCTCTCATGCTCATCCTGTCCCTTACATGTTTGTTTCCTTTAATTTGAGGGATGACACTGGCCTGATCCTCTCTCATCCCACTCTTGTGCTCACCATGTGCACTGTGGGCTGGAATCAGAGAGTACAAACACAAGTCTCGTACTTATTTGTAGAAAACAACATTAAAATGACCAGTCAGGGGCCATCTAGCCCAGAATTTTGGTTTACAGCAGTGATTTAAGGGAAAATATGACAAGATAAACACATGGTCACATTTTTCCTGAATGCTGTCCCAGTGAATTTGTGCAAATAACTTTCAAAACCCTGCAAGCAACAGGACTCTGTCCGTGGCATATTTGGTGATGGAAAATATGTCCCTGGCAATGGAGAACATCTGTGGATACACAGAGCTCTGCTTTTCCTGTGCTTTAAAAAGACTGAGGTGAAGGTGCTGCAGCTCCAAGAGCAGCACCAGGAGAAGGGTGAAGGTCCCAGAGAAACAGGAGAGAAGCACAGAGCCCAGAAAAGTCTAGGATGCTAACACTGTTCTTTTTCTACAGTCAGATTTGGGTTATTTGGGGATGTCTAATGGAACTGCTACTATCGAATAAATAGGATTTTGCCTGAGCTGTGTTACTGGAATAACTCTGTGAAGGATAGTCCTGCTGCATGAGCAGCAAAGGGTGAATCCAGATGTTTAATGTGCTGGATAAGAAATTCTTTGTGTCCACAGAAGCTGTCACATTTATGTTGTACATCCTCATGGGCAGACCTCAGATTTTGCTGCCAGGTATGTTGGTTGTTTTAGAGTTTGGCTGCAAATATCCCAGAAGAGAGGCTACAATATGGCTGTGACTCCTGGAAAAAAAAAAAAAAAAATTAAAAATCTGAGGCTTTAAAGGCAACCAAATCATTTTGGAATTTAAATGGTGCTGGAAAAAATCTTGAGGAAGTGTGAAAAAGAATCTGGGACAGGTTCCCCAGGGAAGTGGTAGAGTCACCATCCCTGTCAGTGTTCAAAAAACTTTGTAGATGTGGCACTTCTCAATATGGCTTAGTAGGCATGGTGGCATTTGGTTGAAGATTGGACTTAATGATCATGGAGGTCTTTTCTGACCTTAATGATATGATGACACAGGTATACACAGGTATTCTATGATATTATATATATATAATATATATGCACAGGTATTCTATGATATTACAGGATGAAATAACTTCTTTAAAACTTAAAAACTACAGGAAAAATTACTTTAAAAGACTGAAACTGTCAGTGCGATGTCAAGATGTGGTTGAGATCTGGTTGCAAGAACAGAACACTGCCAGCCTGTGTGGTGAATATCTGTTTCTCAGACAAGCTGCTACTTGAACAGAACCTGCTGAAGCAAAGCAGGTCCCCTCACACCACTTCACTGGAATAATCCTGCAGAGGAACCATTTTTGCCTGCCTTCCAACAGAGAAGCAAACGATTCTGTGGATATATGAAAACATCACTTGGAAGACCTCAGTATGTTGAAAATTTGGTTTTTGGCACAAACATGGAAGCAAAACTCCTTTGACAATGTCTCGGTCCCTGGAGCCTCATCACTGACCCTGTGGGTGCTTCCTTTTCTCTGTGCCCAGCAGCCTGGAAAGGTAAAGCCAATGACAGCAGGAGTAATCTGACATAGAGGAGGGAGCCTTCAAAGACTCTGACCCATTAACCCTAATCTCCTAATTACCCTGCCACTGATCAGGAAGTGTGCGCTAATTAGCAGAGTAGAAATTCACACACAAGGCTGAGTCACGAGCCTAATTATCAACACCTCCTCCCAGGCCTCTCAAAGGCTGGGACTGCAGCAGGTGATGTTATTGTGTCCCTCTCCTTTTGGGCAGAAATAGCTCACAAGAACATGAGAAAATGAGTCTTGTCACTTGTCTTGCACCATCTTGTCTTTGTCAGCTGCTTTAGTGGCAACCTGGTCCCGAAAGAATTTATATAACAGAAATGTCATTATAAAGCCACAGAATGGTTTTGTTGGAAAAGAACCTTAAAGATCATCTCGTTCCAACCCCCTGCCCTGAGCAGGGACACCTTCCACTGAACCAGGTTGCTCCAAGCCCTGTCCAACCTGGCCTTGGGCATTTCCAGGGATGGGGCAGCCACAGCTTCTCTGGGCAACCTTTGCTCTCAAAGTGAAGAATTTATTCTTAATATCCAATTCAAACCTATTTTATCAGTTTGAAACCATCCCTTCTTGTCCTATCACTGCACACCTTTGCAAAAAAGTCCCTCTCCAGCCTTCAGGGTCAGCCAAGCAGAGTCCAGCCCTGGTTTTTGGGTGACACTAACTCAAAACCAAAACCTGGGGGACTAATTCTCATTTATGTTGTCTGGTTTTGTTATGCAAAGTAATCTGTGCCCCTGCGCTGAGCAAAGCAGTTGTGTAGCAATAACTTAAAACCACCAGGCTGCAGAATCCACTTTGGATCCATGTCTTACCTGCTTTCTCCAGCCTTCCCCTTGTTCTGCAGGGCTGGAAGTCCTCGTGGTCCTCTGTAGTTGATACTTGAAGAGATCTTCCACTGAATTTCTCTAGGTGACAGGTTTGCTCCTCCTCAGAAGTTATATGGGCTTCATCCAGCCACATGTTCCCCTGGAGGGGTCCCTGTTGGAATTTGTGGTAGTGATGATTTTGAGATTGTAAAAAGTTTCTGTCTTTCTGCCTTGTTGTTAAAGAAGAAGTTATAATTTGTTTGTGCTGGCTTTTAAGGTTGTTTATTTTTGCTTATTTATAGTATGTTCTGCTGCCCTGCTGCAGGTCTGTCCTACAGGGCAGCGTGTGGGGCTCTGCCCTCAGTGGGATGTTACAAACATTATATATTGAAACCACGTGTACCATATTTACAATAATGTGCCAATATCTATTATCTATGTTGAACAGTGTGTTTTCAACCTAAACTAATAGAAAAATGCCAACACTACAGTGAAACATGGAGGGCATGAAGAAGGAGAAAAAGGACAAGGCACACCCAATTTCCTCCATCTTGTCCCCTTTGGACCCCTAATCTAGAATCCTAAAATTTTACTTTTGCACCTGTGCCACACTTAATTATTACTTATATCAAACACTCAGAGCTTGTAATTCATCCTGTAAGATTGGAAACTTTTTTCCATGGGCAGAGATCACAGACAGTGTCTCTGGGGGCTCTGTCCAGGGGGGTTCCTGACCCCTGCCAGGCTCCCAGACCTTCCAGGGCAGCCAGAGGGAAGCTCTGGATTCCCACAGGTCCCTAGGGAGTTTTTGGGGAGGGGGTTTGAAAGGTTTCACCAGGGAAGGACCAGCTCTATCCCCAGTGCTGTTCTCACCAAGATAATGGGAGCTTTTGGGAAGGAAAAGCCTTCCTCCCGAGCTCTGCTGGGCCCAAGGGAATGGCAGGTCCATGGGAAGATCACCCTGCTGTTGCTGTACAGTCACACTTGGGTTTTATTTCAGGAGTTCTTAGAAGACTTCTTTTGGCAGGCACAAGGTCCAGGTAGAGGCATCACCCTTCCACATGTTGGTTATCTCCAGGGAGGAGCTGACCCTTCCCACCACGCTGAGCTTTAGGCCCAGGAGATCTCACAGAGCCTGGGGAGCTGGGCCAGCTCCAGAGCTCTGATGGGGGACAGCACAGAGGAGAAAGGAGCTTTTGGCTTTGCAAACTCTCACTTCTCACTGCACACTGTCAGTGCACTCACCACAGTGGTGCCTGAGACCAAATAACCTGATTTTATTGTTTTTAAGGTCTCCTGCAGTGCTCAAGAGGAAGAGCCAGAGGCAAAAGCCATTCTGTTTGACATCAGTATTCCTACTGAAGATAAAGCATTTCTGGCCAATGAGCCAAAACAAGGTGGTTTTTTTTGGGGTTTTTTTTGGGGTTTTTTTGGGGTTTTTTTTGTTAATTTTGCAGCCAGAGGCAGTTGCAATGTGGGATTGGAGCACTTTTCAGCCAAGGTCTCCAATAGTCCTCAGGTCCAGGCAACGAGCTCCAAAATGCAGCCCACATGGAGCCATACCTTGCTCCATGACCATGGCTCAGGAACGGGTACACATAGCTCCTTATTTGCCAAATGCAGTTTTACCTTTGGTTTTTTCCCTTCAGATTTCTGATGTGGAAGGAAAAGAAAGCAAAAACAACAAACAATGGAAACTACCCAGGAAATACATTATTTTGCCAATAATGCCTGAAAGGTGAGAATAAAATTTTCCAGTATTCCAGGAGCTAAGTCCAGGTCAGCTCCCACACCAAGAGATGAATTTGCTAAGAACAGTGTTATTCTGCCTTGTGTCTTTAATAATATCTCAGAATTAAATGTCAGGGGTTTTATACTGGGCTAACAAATTATCTGCTTGTTTAAAACTCCATTTTCAAGTCTTGTAAGCCACTTGTGACTGGAAATGTTGTCTGAGGTACAAAGTCCAAATAGCAGCTCACTCTGCAGCAAGGATCAAGTTCCACTGCTGCATGTGGTGTGCAGCTCTCTTTTGCCACGACCTTGGGATCTTGATACTTCATATGCCTGGAAAGCAGAATTTAAATGGATAAGGGTAATAACTGATAATAGTTGCCCTTATAATCTGTTTTTCTTCCAAGAATGTTCAGGTGCTTTAGAACTCCTGGGAGGCTCTGGCCAAGTTCAACATCCCTTGTCTCCCTGAACTGTTTTTGTTCACTATTGTTTCAATCATCACCATGTTAGCAGGCTCTAAACAAGGAGTGGTGAGAATAATGGAAACTCTTTGTGTGGGAGAACCTTGTACCACATGTGTGAGTCATCTTTATTCCCTATTTATCTTTCATCTTTATTCCCTATGATTTTGGTGGGGTTTCCCTCAGCACTGCAAATCGCCACAATTTTGTTCAATCCATGTCTAAAGTGACACTGAAAAGGCAATTCTGCCCCAAGTCAGCCTTGAGGATGGGTGAAAGACATGGCAAACTGTGTCCCTCAGGAGCTTTTGTTACCCTTACAAAAATATTCTTTGTATGTCTTCCACAGACAACTCAGAGTAGACAAAAACCTGAAAAAATAAAATGAAATGGAAATAAAGAAAAAAAAATTGCTAGAGCAGTACTGACAGCAAAGGATGAAGGGCAGGTGTGAGAGATGATCCTGTGATGGATAAGAGTGAACATCTCCCTTTTCTTCCACTGGGAAAAATTTTGTTGGTTTAAACTCTTTACATGGAAAAGTTTATCTCTGTAAGTCTGTAAATAGCCACATCTCTGAGAAGGTGGCCCATTGTCATCTGACTAATTTAACCTGTCTTGGAGTAAAGGAGAAGCAACTTCTCAGTGGAGAAATTCCCTGTGGACACCACCCACGGGTAGAGCCAATATGACAGGCAGTCTTAGCTCAGACCAGAGCCCACATCAACAGAATTTGATTGCTCTCGCTGCTCATGAAGAGTCACTTGTTCATCAAAGCTTTAAAAATCTCTGTTATTGTGTGTTTGGAACAGAATCACAGAATGGTTTGGGTTGGAAGGGATGTAAGAATGGTCACCTAGACCAACCCCCCTGCCACAGGCAGGGACACCTTCCACTAGACCAGGTGAAAAGCCCCATCCAGCCTGGCCTTGAATAGGGCAGAGTAATCCAAACTTTTACTTTTCCCTCTGATTTTGGAGCATTTTTTACCAGAGGTGTGGATCCCTTTGCTCCTGTTGGTTGTCAGAACCCAAACTTGCCATCACAGACCACTCCAGATCATGGAGTGGCTGCTGTGGTCACAAACTGAAAATGATAAGGACCTTGGCATTCCCTGGCACTCAAGGCTTCTCCAGCCCAGCTGCAGACAGTGAGGAGTTCATCCCTCCTGCAGAGGTCTCATTGTTCCTCCTGTTTGACACACAGGTAAGGTGAGCCACAGAGGTGTTTGAACATCCTGGACAAGGTCTTGGAAGAGTCTCAGCCACAGATTCAGAAACACGGCTCAGATGTCTCCTCTCCAAATCCTGCTGATGGAGCACTGTCGAAAAAGCTCCTTGTCCCATTACCTCAGGTAGATTCCCTTGTGCTGAATCACTGGGAGCAAAAGGAATATAATAATTAGAATAATTAACTCCTACATAAGCAAGCATGATGCAGTTTGCAGAGATCTCCAAGAATTCCTTATCAGTAACTCACATCTACATAAATGGAAGCACTGGAAAGTCAAATCACTCAACCAACCCCAGGCCTGTCCTTTTCAGCCAGAGGCATGTCAGGGATCAGGGAGGTCACTGTGAACTCCTGAAACCCAGCTCTCCTCATGCCAAGGTGCCAAAGGGGGATGTACACCCAAAGGGACACCAAAGGTGGGTGAGAACACCAGTTAATCTTACCACATGCCTACAAGCTATCCCAGAAAGGCTGCTTGCAACACCTCATCCTTGGAGCATTCAGCATGTGATCAAGGTCACATTTTGCATGTCAAATTTCCCAGATGGAGACCTGAGCAATGCCCATGAGGAATTTGGGTGTGCTTGCATAAGTGTACCTTTATCAGACATTCAGCATGCCAGGAGGAGCAGCACAAAGCAGGTCAGCTAGAAGAGAAGCTACTCAGGATTCAGTAAAAAACCTGTTTTTTTCAGGAAGTTATGCATGATTGAGAGGAGTCTGCATTTCTCATGTCCTTTTAGAACTGGTCTCCAGAACTGGTCTTCAGAAAAGTGACAAAGCCAACGTTTCAATTGGAGTTCCATTCCTGCAGAAACTACAGAGATTTTTTTGTTTGTTTTCCTTGGAAATAGCCTACAGGTTGCTATGCACAGCATTCCTAATTTACCCAGCCATCTGCAGCAGAAGGCTGGTGGTGAATCAACACCAGTTGGAGCTCAGCAGAAACTTTTAGGTTGCAATTATGCCGGGCTATGTTCTGAACCTTCATTAATGGGAGCCTCCCAGCAGTTTCTGATATCTACTGATGTCCTGATTGATCAGATCCTCACCAGAAGAGCAAGCAAGAGGTCCTGACATGGTATTTAACTCCTAGAAGATTGTTGGTGTCACTAAGCAAACTGGCTTTAATTATCTCCAATTTGCAGTTCATCCTCCAAAAATCTACCCTCCTTTTGGGCTACAAGTTCTTCAAAAGCTGCCTCCTTCAATTTTCCAGAGAATCTGATAGCATATGAGATCTTGGGGAAAGCAAAGTGTTTGTTTTTTGGTGTAGGAGCACGCTGAGATCAGCTCCCAAATCTCTAGACCACAATGTTATATGAAGTCCAGGCCACCTGTAGGATTCCCTGCCCTGTTTGTGAATCACAGGAGAGGAATGTAAAGTTAAATGTGTACATTTTGTCAAAACTCTGACTTGGTGTCATTCTACAGACCTTCCCATTTGGTCAAACTGATCCAAGTTCCTAATAATGTTTCACTAAGCAGAAGAATTAAGTGCAAACAAATGTATGGGGCTTTGACCTACCTGGTCTACTGGAAGGTGTCCCTGCCTGAGGCAGGGGTTTGGAACTACATGAACTTTATGATCCCTTCCAACACAAAACATCATAGAATTCTCTGATCTTGGCTATTGGCAAACACAAGAATATAAAATCAGTCATTAGCTGAGTCAATGAGTTGAAATCTGTCATTTTTATGCCTGAAAGGCTTTGTACTCCATAAATAAGGGCAAGTTCAACTAGAAATTATTGATGTTTTCTCTGGAGGCCCAAACATCTTTGCTTACACCAGAGGAGACCTGAGTGCTGCCCATTTCCATTATGTTGAAACCCTTTTAATGCTCTCTGATGGTTTTATAGGTGATGTAAAACACTCACACTTCATCTGCCCCTTTGCCTTGAGTGTGGACTGCTGAGGACTGGGAGGTGCCAAAGCTTCTGCACAGCCTTTGGCTTCATCTACAGGAGCAGGAGTTTTGAACAGAATCAATTTTGGGTCTCTATTTCACAAAATTAATAACAACATTCTTGAGCAGGTAGAGAGGAATGTATATATTTTGAATCCCTGCTACACCTGAGAGTGAAAGGCAGAAACATACCCACAAAATGTCTTGGAACAACTCCAGCTCCTAAAAGGTGGAAGAGATAGATTTTGGGTCTGGCTGTCAAGGCTCTGCTTACAAGGATTAAATCCTGGGACACATCAGAAATTACTTGTTGCCTTGCTCCATAAATTTGATCTTTCCTAGGCCTGGGACAGTTTTGAACCTCTAGGGCTTTTGTCCTGGGAAGAGCACAAGTTCCCTTCTTAATACAGGAGCTGGAAATTCAATATATCTTCACTGATTTCAATTTATTTGATTCAAGCTGGTTAAGATTTGAACATGACATAGAGACAGACCCATTGCTTCAGCTGCACATGTCCTGTCACATGTTCCTCTAACATTTCTTCACTGTTTAATGTGAGGGATGCTTTGTATCTGCTCACAGGTAACTCAATGAACCATATCTGATAACCTCTCTGTCAGAGAATCACGGAAGGGTTTTGTTGGAAGAGACTTCTAAGATCATCCAGCTCCACTCTCTGCC